ATTAAAATTATTCATTAAATGAATAATTTTATACTTTAGTTCTCATGCCCCCTAGCTTAAACAATGCGATTTAAATAAAATTCATTCACAAATCATTAAAAATAGAGAACCTTTTATACCCATTTGTAATTTTCCCTTTTGCTCGTTATTTTTGGGGGTTCTTCATAAACAAAATCTTTATTAGCTTATAAATAAGCTCAGCCTTCCTCTTCTATTTATTTGTCTTTATTAAAGCTTTATATACGTATGTATATAAACTTTGACCTTTTGGATTTCCTTGAAGCTTTTCGTGTTCTTCTACTTCCCCCTCTATAAATCATTAGTTTATTCCTTTTGACCCTGCTTATTACTTATTCCTATTAACATTCTTCGTCTTTTTTCCGTTGGTATTATTTTCCTTATTCCTCCCATCCATATGAATTTACTATCTGTTAATATTTTAACATTACTTTACGGCATTCCTTTATTCCTTTCTTTGTTCGCATAACATCCGACACTTTTGGCCTGATATCTGTTAGATTTGGATTTTATTGGTTTTACATGTTCGTTGAGATGTTTTACCTGGAAAGAAACAAAGATAACGAGAAATTAGTCATTGTTGTACAGAAGTTGATAAAATATTCTTTTTATTTTGGTTAAACCAAAATATCTATAGAGGTTTTACAATGCTGCCATCGTAAAATGATTCACTTTTTTATTTTCCCTTTGACGGGCGCAACTCCCGCTGCACGAATTAAACTTAAACTCAAAATATTTGCAAAAATAAACAGCCGAGAACAAAGTAATAGTAAGAAAGTAGGGATACAAAAAGAAAAACTAAAGTCAAGCCACGGAAAAAGCTTTGGCTTATAAGCTCGCTTTTGCCTTTGCTTAATTTTAATTTCTATTTATCCTTCAGATTTATCTCGTTCGGCATTTTCTTTCCTTGTTCCTTTAACATTTCCCACGTATTTCTCTTCATTTTCTGCTTTAAAGTTCCCTCAAACAAAAAACGAAAATAATTAAAACCCGCACAGCTTTGTTTTCGTTTGAAAAAGTTTGAAAACAAGCGGCAGCCAGAAAGAGATGGGGAGCCACGAAGGACAAAGATGGGGATACAGGACGAAAGAGAGAGAAAGCATACATGTACCGTTATGTGCGCAGTAAGTCATACACACAAACACACAACCTCATATATAAAGGTATACAACACATCATCCTCTCCATATGTTTTGCAGTCACATGTGTGCAGCATCCACAACCGTTTTACCACCCACTTCCTCCTTTACGATCTTCTTCTTTCAGCCACGCCTTGTGTCTGTGTCTGTACATATGTAATGTATATACAGATGCTGTGAAGCACACAGCAAAATAAAAGAAAACACTGAAGTAAAACTAGCAGAAAAACAGAAAAGATGGAGCATAAAACAACGGGAGCCATCACGAAAAAGAAGAATGCAAAGTAAACCAAAAAAAAAAAAACCTCAGAAACAGAAAGCGCAAATTCTTCTAAGCTTAAAAATAAAAGGAGGGCGAAACAGAAGAAGCAGTGGCTGAAAAAGAAAAAGATAACTTACAACAGAAAATGTGGAGTTTAAGGATTTTAAAAATGCTTAAGCGAAAATAAAGAAGTTAAATATTTTGTAATTTGTTTTTGTTTAATAATTATTTTTATGTGTAAAGGTACTGCGAATTTTTTTTAAGTGCACATACACCAAATAGCTGTCTGCTACCGCCACCCGCTTTTCCAAACTTTCCCGCCCAATTTCCCCATCCTTATTTTTAAATGCAGCGCAGTGTGCAAAAACGAACAAAAAAAAAATTTCGTTATCGATTTTTTGGGCGGGAGAAAATGCAGAAAAATGGGGGGCGTGGGGGAAAGGGGACGATGACAGCCTTGTTATGAATTCTCCGAAGAGTGACTAAAAAGTGGGAAGGACTGGGGGTAAAAAAGTTGGTGGTTGAACGCCAGCATTATTTCTGTATGTTGATTTTTATTCTCGGCTCCTTTGCCATTTCCCATGTCTCCATCTATACCATTTTCCTTTAATTTTTCGCTTCATATTTTTATGCCGTTTCGCCCGCTTTTTACATAAAATTTTTACATTCTTCCTTTCTCCACCTTCTTTCCCACGCCCGTTACTCACCTCCTTTTTATTTTTGTGTTGCCTGCTTTTAGGCGCTAAACTTTTCGCTGTTGCTAAAACGAGATAGCTGCAACTTTACAACGTCCTTTGCTATCTGTGTCTCTGTTCCTCTTCTCCTTCCTTTCCGTTATCCTACCACCTTGTCTGTCTGTGTGCTATTAAATTCGCTGGAAATTTAATTTGTGCTCGAGACAAGAAAAGCCACGCAAACAGAGACAGAAGCGGAAGGACTGAGACGCAGATAGAGAGAGAAAGAGACCGAGTGATACAAAGAACGGGATGGTGCTAGTCGAGGGGGGCGAAGGGAGGTGGGGAGACCGCGAATTGGATCAGCTGTTTTTTGAGCCGGAATGCTAACTTTTCCTCCCCATCGA